AAGGATTCCATTTCAAGTGCCAAGTTGGTCTTAGCTCTTTGATACACCTTTCCAGACTTTCCAGTGCACCAATGCAATGTTAAAAATGCCTCTCATTTATTCAAATGCAAGCAATCTGTGTCATAACTCATGGACAGAATTTTCTCAGTGCATGATAAACATGGGCAAGTGCAAGTCAATTGGCAAGATATGGCGAGTTTGTCAGAAATGAGATTCTTGAAGTTGAGAAAAGCAGGAAAAGTGGGCATGTAGTGGACATTGAAGAGCTTGGAATTAGTAGAAGTGTCCCAAGGAGGAACATTTCAACATATAAATCATTTGTGATCATAAGTACCAAGTCTTAGAGGCCCGAACCAGGTACCCTGGGAGCTGATGTGATGCCATTATCCTTGAGAATTCTCATGATCCTGCTGCATTTCAAGGGCTGAACGTCTTGGAAGCATAGAGAGCAGGAGACAAGGGCTACCCTCTGAAACCATGGCTGATGATTCCATTATGCAATCCTCTGACTGAGGGTCAAGTATAGATACAATGCAGCCCATAATGGAACAGAAAATAGGCTTCCTGAAGATAGGGTTCCAATGCTTCGGTTGGTCTGGGGAGCCTTAGCATACAGTCCAGACAACATATGCCGCGTAACTGTGTACCGTTCCAGAGCAGGAAACATGTGGATGTGGTGGACATTGAAGAGCTGGGAGAGCAGTAGAAGTCTCCCAAGGAGGAAGACAAGGATCTAGAACCAGATGAACATCACCTTCAGCATAACAGAGCATTGAAGTGGTTGATGCAACAAATCAGACAAGACTTAATTGAGGCACAGTTCCAATAGATGTGAACTGGATGCAGATTTGTTAAATGGTCCAAAGGCAGGCAGTCCTTGTCTGTTCCCAGAAGCAAATTCAGCTTCTCGTAGCTTTTTCTTCACTTTTGCAGTTGCTGAATAAAAGTGAATGCTTTCAACCATCGGAAACCCTTCCAGTATGTAACGAACAAACATTGAACAGTAAGATGCTGTTCAGTTATGCTGAGCTCTGAGCAAACAGCTGCACTCCCTTAGACATGGTTTTAAGATAGCATAATGCTAAGAATGGATAACTTGTGTAGCTTGGTTCGTTTTACTTCAGTTACAATGATTGTCAAATCAGACAGGTACTGTTAAATAGCAATACTTTTACTAATGTGACCTGTATTTGCAATGAAATGTCAGCTACGCCACCTACATGCCCTCCCACCACAAGCAATGTGAAAGGCAGCTGCTGGCTGATAGCACTTGAACGGAGGCACAGCCAGGCTTTTAAAATGGAACTGGCATCAGGAATTCTGGGGCACCCCAACAGTGGTGAGTATTTCTTACCATTGCTGAGCAAAAGGTTGCACAAGCCAGGAGCTATAGAGGTGTTTAGCATAACTAATGAGGCAAGCCATGGAGAACAGCATGAAAAAACTTGAGAGGGCTCAGTGAGAGAAACCTTCCATGAAACATGCTAAAGTGAAGTAAATACAGCTTGATTGAGGAGAGCTTGAAGCCAACTGGAAAGTATTGTTATCTCTCACCAGAATGGTGAGTTGAAAAATCAATACCCGTGCTATGCCCAAGGTCATCCAAAAACGTAAAAAGGCTTTTTTTGTAAATACTCAGAGTTCCTTCCCCACTTTACCTGCCTTTCAGACTCAAGTTAATGGAAAGCACAGATCAGGTTATTGTACTTAATAAGAATTATTTAGAGTCATAGAGCTGTACAGCACAGAAACAGACTAGATATCTTAAATTAATCAAGTCCCATTTGCCACCATTTGGCCCATATCCCTCTAAATCCTTCCTATTCATATGCCCAGGCAGACACAATGTTGTAATTGTACCAGCCTCCATCATTTCCTCTGGCAGCTCATTCCATACATGCACCACCCTCTTGCCGCTTAGGTCCCTTTTAAATCTTTCCCCTCTTACCTTAAACCTATGCCCTCTGGCTCTGGACTCTCCCACCCTGGAATAAGTCCTTGGCTATTTATCCTATCCATTGCCCCTCATGATTTTATAAACTTCTATAAAAGGTCACCCCTCAGCCTCTGACCCTCCATGGAAAATAGCCCCACCTTATTCAGTGTCTCCCTATAGCTGAAACCCTCCAACCCTGGCAATATCCTTGTAAATCTTTTCTGAACCCTTTCTAGTTTCAAAACATCCTTCCTATAGCAGGGAGACTAGAATTGAACACAGTATTCCAAAAGTGGCCTAACCAATGTCCTGTACAGCTGCAACATGACCTCCCAACTCCTATACTCAATGCAATGATTTATTACAAGCAAATAGATTGAAGTTACAGGTAAATAATTATGAACCATCGAAATACAACTTGACTGATTAAAACTCCAATCCTGTTGTAATCTTCCCCTTACATACACACAAACAATATAAATATGGGTGAAGTAGCTGGAAATATCTGGGAAATTAATAACTGGGAAAGCAGTTTAGTAGTCACAGTTCACAGCATCTGCTTCTCAGTCTTCCTTCTCTGGATGATTTCACTGTTTTACATGAGGTACATGGTGACTGGCTCTCAATTACAAAAGAGATTTTCTGGACTGAGTACAAATTTGGGGAGGTGATGGCCTAGTGGTACTATCACTTGACTGTTAGTCCAGAGACTAACATCGCCGGGGAGGCAATGGTCTGGGGTATTATCACTCAGCTGTTAATCCAGAGACCCAGATAATGTTCTGGGGGCCTGGGTTCGAATCCCACCACATCCTTTAGGGAAAGAAACTGCCATCCTTACCTGGTCTGGCCTACATGTGACTCCAGACCCACAGCAATGTGAGTGACTCAACTGCCCTCTGGGCAATTAGGGATGGGCAATAAATGCTGCCTAGCCAGCGACACCCTCATCCCCTGAATGAATAAAGGAATTATAAAAAGTCTTTGACTCATTTAATTAGAAGTCAGAACTTATAGCAATTGTTGAAGTAACTGATGATAACTGGTTTTCTTCAGGCTTAAAGTGGATTTTACTGCAGAGAACAGAGAGTCACTGATTTTGATAGAGACCTGATGGCTATTTCCTCTCTAGTCCACAGCCTCAAGCTGTTCAGCTACTTGAGAACCAATCACAGTTGTTGACAGGCAGAAGGCCTGTTATCAATAGTTGGTCACTAGTTCACAAACCAATCAGCTATTTGTTGCTGGTTTAACTTCCATTTTTACACGCATTGGCTCCAGCTCACCTGCACCTTTTCCTACTACTGCTTGAACCAGCAGCTGTGTAAAAATACCAATAAATGAATGTCAGGTTACTTTATTTCAAAAACAAGGAGTAATGCTTGGCTTTATAATGGTTTCATTTTCCTATTTCTGTCCACAACTAAAAATACAGAAAAGTAAAAAGACATAGTCTTTAAAGAATGCTGAGGAAAATTAATAATTGGATGTTCATTCTCAGATCTCTCATCTTGTCAAACTGCCTGGCCATAACATGTTTTTGATCTACAAGTGGCTATATCCATCCTTTGGACAAATATGCTGTGTTGGTGGAACACCCCGTCCTCACACACATATCAGCTGCCCAGATGGGAAGAATACAGAAGCATATGTTGAGATTGATCATAGAAGTCAGGAGCAGTCATGTGTGGGCAACAGTTTTCAAGTCACAAAGCTCAATTCTACTAAGAAGGAGGAGTGAATTTTTTTTTCTTTATTCATTCACTGGATGAGGGTGTTGCTGGCTAGGTAGCATTTATTGCCCATCCTTAATTGCCCAGAGGGCACTCAAGAGTCAACCACATTGCTGTGGGTCTGGAGTCACATGTGGGCCAGACCAGGTAAGGATGGCAGTTTCTTTCCCTAAAGGACATTAGTGAACCAGATGGGTTTTTCCTGCCAATCAACAATAGATTCATAGTCATCATTCTTAATTTCAGATATTTATTGAGTTCAAACTCCAGCATCTTCCATGGTGAGATTTGAACCTGGGTCCCCAGAACATTACCTGGGTCTCTGGACTAATAGTCCAGCGATAATGCCATTAGGCCATCACCTCCCCAGATTTGTACTAAGTCTAGAAAATCTCTTTTGTAAACTGCCTAATTTCAGAACTAGTTACACCAACATGCCCAAAGCTCTCAACTCACCTCAGAAACATATCTAAATTCAACCCTAAAATGCAGAATGAAACCTTAGCAATGCAGTCCTCTTTCTTACATGGTTCAGGTACTCATTGAAGGAATAAAATGATGAATTTCATATATACTTCAGTTGCAGTAACATAGGAATGAAGAATAGGTTTTTAATTTTACTATAATTTTGATTCAACATTACGTTCCTTTTAACATCCTATCCACAACTTCCCTGGTCCCTGCTGAATTTCTTTCTTACTACATGAATGTTACTTTTTTCATGGCTTTAAGACTACATGCAAACTTTTCAATGCAAGCCACACTAGACCTTAGCCTTCAGGCTGCGAATATGTTTCCTGAGTAAAATATTATAATCATAAAGAAGTGCCATTCAACACTCACAGAATCATAAAACCCCCTAAAGTGTAGAAGCAGGCCATTCAGCCCATCAAGTCCATGCTGGCTATCCGAAGAGCATCCCTCCCAGACCAAACCCCCTACCTTCTCCCTGTTCCTGTATTTACCATGGCTAAGCCTCCTTGCCTGCACATTCCTGTGCAATTTGGCATAGCCAAACCACCAGACCTGCACATCTTTGGACAATTATGTAGATTGTAGGAGAAGCATTTTGGGATAGCCTCATAATTGGGGACAGGACCTCCAGTCTGCAGAGGTATAATTTTTTCTAATGGAATCAGGAGTGGCCATTTTCCTCCTAGCACAAGAAAAATTAATAAAAACAAAAACATCACTTAATGGCATCACCTCCCTTAGGTGAACCTGGCAAGAAAGTCCCAGCTACTTTATCTACTCAAGCCCACTGTTACAAAAGCAGTTGGGTATAATTACACCATCAGAACCTGACCTGAATGGTTAAAGATGTAGCTAACCTGACGATGAATGAAAACGACAGATCCTAAAAGTCTCCAAGTGCCACCCTGTCGATCCACATGCAGCATCCGTAAGATCTGAAGGAAACGAATACCCCTGAAAATACAGAATAGAATCAATACTACGAGAAAATTAAACATTTAAAAAGTTGTTTTAAAAATAGTGCAACTAAACTTCTAATGTTTTAAAATTATGTTCAACAAATCAAAGTCTATCCCAGTTTAGTTTTTGCTGCAGGTGCATCAAGAAAATAGGAAGATAAATGGGATGTTGGCCTTCATTACAAGGGGGCTACAGCACAAGAATATGGAAGCCTTGTAGAAGTTTGGGTCATATCAAAGGCCTCCAAATTTCAGAAATAATATGTGTGCTTTGAAATTACTGCACAGGCTCCCTAGCCTAGTTTCTGGAATGAGAGGTTTCTACCGTGATGGTAGGTTGAATAAATGGGGGTTTTGAAGAATAAGTCATCATGTCATTTAAACATACAAGATTTTGAAGGGGTTTAACATGGTAGACTCTGGAGTTGCTTGAGGAATCAAGAAAAAAAAGATGTAATCTCAGCATAAGTGATCCATCACCTGTAACGGAGATAAAATAGGAGGCATTTCTTCACCTAGAAGGTTGTGAATGTTCAGAATTGTCTATCACAGAGGAACGTGGATGCTCCACTACTTAATATATTTAAAGCCGAAACAGACAGATGTTTAGTCTCTTGGGGAGTCAAGGATATAGCAGCTGGGAGGAAAGTGTATTGAAACCGATCAGCCTCAATTGTATTAAATGGTTGTGCGAGCTTGAGGAGCCCTACGGTCTACTCCTGTTCCTATTTGTTATGTTCTTTTGTTGTTACTTATTAACAATTTACCATGCCATTGATAAATCAATGTTGTATTAAATAAATAACTGCTTCAAGTGATTTTTCTGCCTCTCAGGCTGTTAAAAAGAACAGGCATACAAAAAGAACAATACAAGCTAAGCAAATTTGGAGATCACAATTATTCAAACATTAGATTGCAAACACAATATTTATTTGTAAATATTCCAAAGATTTTACAATTTGGCCCAACATTAATATGTATCTCACTATAATTTTATATATACTATTCCAAATATTACCACATCTCTCAGCCAAGCAGGACTCCACTCTACTGAATCTTAAAATCTAATTGGTCTAATGGACTAGAAATAAATTGTGTCTGTTGTCTATTCATTTTAATTTATAAATCTGCAGAGAAATACCTGATGGCAGATGTGGCAAACACCTGACCATTTGATCCGACACTGAGCACTATAATGGATGCAATCACTACAATCAGATCTGCAAGTCAAAAATCAAGCATGCTGATTAGTTTCGAATATGACATGATAAGGGATTATGTTAATCTTTTCAAGATCATGGCTGAAAAAACTAATACATTGATGGCAAACACACAAAAACAACACTTGGATCAATCTTCAAATTGCAATTCCAAACCACTGTTGGTTTGTAGTTTCTAATTTATTTCAAACTCAATGAAAATTCTAAATTATAAGTTGTAAAAACATCTACAGAGCTTCATGTTATATAATTCCCTATAGCAGTTCAAAGAGCAGTTAAGAAATCTGTCTCCGTGTTCTTCTGTGACTCAGGAATGGCCTGTTTTCATGCTTCTTTTAGATTTATTATCTTTACCAGGATAACATTACTGTGAAAGCATTTAGTGTATTCAAAACTTTATTCTACATTATTCAACTATTCCAGATCCATCACTAAGCTATTCCCATAAATGTAACAATAAAGCTATACTGATTTGCAGTTTTATTAAAGATATTTTCACATTGTTGCAAAGTTAGATACTTGCACAGAACCTCAAAGTTCTGCCTGACAATTATTTCAATGAAGTATAGTTGATTTTAACCTACACAGACTGTTAAAGTTAAGGTGGTTGAAAGAAAATAATGAAATCCTCACCTATAATGGAAATAGGTTTCCTGGCAAACCGGATCCTTCCTTTAACACCAACATATTTACTTCTGCAGCCTGCAGACCACAATCGTACCATATATTCAGCACCAAAAAAAACTACTAACACAATTTCCTAAGTGGAAAACAAAAAGAATTGTTGAGAGCAGACTAAAACTGTTTAAGCTGAAACAGAGAAATCATTGCTTCTGTATAACAGACTAAGGCTCAATACATTGTTAGAGTATTTTAACAGTACTTAACCACTTACAAGCTCAAATTGCTGTCAGAGTGTTTCATGAGAATAAATTGCTCTGTTAATATTGCCAAGAACTATTTCCAGGTTTAATTCTAGGCAGTAGCCTTTATACATTTCCATATGCCAATACTTACAACGGTGGACAGATTGGGATGATTAATTTTATTTTAAGACCAAGCCACAAGATACATTGTTTTTAGATTACCTTAAAAAATGGTTAAAAAATGATCTGAGCCAGATACATTGGAACCAAAAGTTGGCAGGCAGAACAGTGCAATGATACAATGGCTTTAAGAGATGTATTTTGATCTTTTTTTTAAATGAAGAAAGATTGTGACAAGGTGGTTTCTCGCTCTGCTGATCCATTAGTCTTTACTTTGCTCATCAAATTTTCTGCAAATTACATTTCTCAATCTTTACATTTCTTTCAATTCCACTTATACTTTACATGTGTGTTAATTAGCATTTTACAATTTTTTTTCTTTTTTGGTCCAATCAAGCTTTCAATTTGTTTATTGCTTAAATTTTTTTGTAATAATCTTCCAGGGTGAAATCTTCCTTTTTGAAGTTTAAGCATGATGGTGAGCATGTTGGATAACATCATTTCTCAGCTCATTATGCAAATAAGATATTGTACGAGTTCTCAGCAAATCACACGGCAAGCAAGCTAGAAGCTTTTGCCATTGGCAAGATATTTTCGCTTCAAAAGGTCTAGTGCCATATTTAAAGACCAGCTGAATAGCACTTCAATTGCTACAAGCTAAGAGCATCCCTTCATCCTGTCCTGGTCATTCCTATAGCACAAGCAATACCAGCAAAAATGCATGTTGGCTCTTTACTGTTTAATGGGCTCACAGAAAGACCACACAGGCACTTCCCAGTGAAGAGAATCAAAAGGCCGTTACATCACACCCGTCCAGCCTGCACACAGGTAACAGCACAAGTCAGAGGAGTCGGACCCCATAAACGGGATGTCAAACTGGTATGAGAATAGTTCAATAATCTCCTGTGCTCCATAAGGCTAAGAGGTTAGGGGAAATCTGCTACCTTACAGGGCTATCACTAATTCAAAAGTTGCCACTGCAAATTCATCTCACAAATGGTCTATGGCTACATTCCTCAGCATCATATGTCTATTCAAGGGCTCACATGCAACTCATATTCTCAAACTACTAACCCTCCTCTGTGCTTCCTACTCAGTCGCTAAGGAAACCTCAGACCCCGCAAATTCATACATGCTCATACAATGCTTCTGCACCATTCCCATCACACGCAATCCTTGCCTTTGTCTCATCGCTATAAAACTGGCAAGATGGGTCGAGATGGCCAAGACTAGTGTGGAATGAGGGTGATGCAAATGAAGTCACTCATTCCCTGTGAGAAAAGGATCACTGAGCTGGCTAGGGAATACTAGGTCCATTACTGTAGTGATGCGGAGATACCAACGGGCCAACACAGCCATTGTGATCTGTTCTTCTTGGTTAAGCTCCATGCCAACATATTGCTGCATCTAATTTCCATTTATCTTTGCCAACTGATTCTTTCTCATCTCTTCCACAGGCACCCTGGAATTCTTGACTAGGAAGAGCCCACAGTCCGAGTCCCTCTGTACATGATGCTTCTGAGGAGGAAGTCTATGAAACCTTAGAAAATGCACCTGCTGCTTCTCCAGCAACGTAGGGACTGTCATCTAGGTGGATATTCTAGCTAGGTTAGATTTGATGTTACAATCTGGTGAGCACATCATTGATACAGGTCCACAGCCAGTGGAGTAACACCCCAGGTGTCTGATACACAAGGCTGCTGAAGTCCAGGCAGCTGCTTAGTCCCAGGTAGATAATGAGTCTCTGAAATCTGCCAGAAGTGGCATGGTAAACCTGAAGAGTCCTTTGCCCATCTATCAGGCAGGTGTGCTATAGACGGTAAGCTAGAACAAAAGGTGGCGGAATCTCTCCACATTCTCACTACTAGGGTGGTTCCACCATGTGAGCACTTGGCTGCCTTCCTGTACAGGGTTGTGGCGACATTGTCAACCCAGCTCCAGCAAAGTACACAACGGCTGCTGAATTTGTGCTCAAACGTGCTTTCCATCACTTTACTCTTGGGCACTCAGCATTGACTGATTTTAGGAACTACAACGGAAGTTGCTGGAAAAGCTCAGCAGGTCTGGCAGCATCTGTGAAGAAAAAAATCAGTGTTAAACGTTTCGGGTCCGGTGACCCTTGCTCAGAATTTGACTGATTTCAACCTCACTTCTCTCAAGAAGGGTGGTGCCAGCAGGCACCCACTGGGAAAAGAAATGACAGTCAGGCAGCCCTACAGCTGCTTCTCAGGAGACTACAGGAGGTGTCCCGCAGCTCCTCTTCCTTCTATCTGTGACCGTAAGGCCTCCAACGGTCAAGCCAAGAATGCTGAGAGTGGATGTTGGCAGGACACTCTTAGCAGGGTGGGATATTTCAGCTGAAACATGCCACGGGATAATTGCCTAAGTTTTCAGCATCAACAGGGCATATCACATAGCAGGATCCCTTCATCCCAGCTGTGAATGTCAGTCCTGCACTAGCTGTAATGAGAGGGAGAGGAAGTATAAAGGCTCTAAAGGCACATCAATGGCATTGGGTCTGCACTTTGGTAAATATATGTTCACTTCCATTGTTATAAGATCTGCCGTACATTTACTATCCTAATAGCAATGAATGAAGTGGAACAATTTAAAAAGGTGTCGAGCATTTTTAACCAGCAAAAGGATTTGCTGTGTTTCAATTGTAAACATTTGTTCATCTCTCATAATCACCCATGTGGGAGACTGACGACAGCCTCACCATCAGTGAACCCCACAACTATAAGTAGGGGATTGCAGCCAAGGTTCTACAGATGAATGCCGTGAGACAGAGGCTAAAATAAAAATGGTAGAATGTGTGATGCTTCTGGCATTCAGAAACGCAAAGTTTATCCTATGCCTCAAACAAATCTAATAGGCAATTCGCATGATCAGATTTCTTCATTGAACACTGCTCTGGAGTAAACAAATGCAGCCCACTGCACTTTAAGTGGTGTCAAACATGATGCCCAGGCAGAGTGAGGATAGATTGAAGACTCACAGCACCCTAAAGCACCTGTGCATTGAAGGGAAAGTAGTGAAATGCTTAGGAGTAAAATTCTCAGGACGACTGACAACTTGGTAATCCTCATGAAAGTACATTCCTTCTTTTGACTGAAGAAGGGTCCAGACCTGAAGCGTCAGCTTTCCTGCTCCTCTGATGCTGCCTGGCCTGCTGTGTTCATCCAGCTCTACACCTTGTTATCCCTCTTTTGTCTCATGTGTACCATTTTAGTGCAGACACAGAAAAAGTGATCTCTGCATCAGAGATTCATTACAAGCATTGGTCAAGAACAAAGTTTGCACAGAGGCATTACCTTACAAAAAATTAAAGATCAGATCTCATCAGGAGAACTGAATGTTTTGTCACACAGGCATACTGAACAATAAAACAAGTACATCTGTTATCAATGCAGAATACACCACCCAGAGGGATGTCTGCCAGGTGCTCAGATGAAATTAGAACTTGCAAGTAGAAAATCACTACCCAGATTAGACATCCTGGAAAGGTGGAGCTATAAGATTTTCTCTGGCTTCTTGGACTTTCCAGTTCATTGTCCTGTCTTCCTCTTTGTCACGCCTCCTGGAGAATGTCCCTTCGATCTTACTTCCTGATACTCAATATGACTGTAGTGGGCCAATACTCAATTTTGGTATGTGTCACCATATTTAACATCAATAGCACTATCTCAAAACATGTTTCAACACTTAAATTCATTTCAATTACTAGTGCTTAAGCCAGAGCTGTCTAGGTCTATGTTAGTTGAATTTGATTATTTATAGGCTATGAGTTAGTGTTCAGAATAATAAATCTTTTCTTTAGTCCCTGGGACTGACGACCAGGCAGAAAAGGCACATTCAAACTAGTATGTACATAAGATCCGCTTCCAAGATACCTGGTGACAAGTAGCTCAAAATAAAACCAAGCCACAAAATGTTAATATAAATGCAAAATAAGACAATGACTAATTTTTAATCCATGTTACACTGATACTATTGGATCCAATAGTATTCTTGAGGAAATTTTAGTATATCCATATTTTTCTAGATCTTGAGCTGTTGGCAGTTGGAAGGAGAGCGGGCAGACATTTCTTATACGCCTTTACTTCTTCTTAGTATTGGTTTCTTTACAATAAAAGGTGGTTGTAGTTGTTGGAGGTCAGTCATCTCAGCTCCAGGACATTTCTGCAGGCGTTCCTCAGGGTCGTAGCCTCGGCCCAATCATCTTCAGCTGCTTCATCAATGACCTTACCTCCACCCTAAAATCAGAAGTGGGGATGTTTGCCAATGATTCCTTAGATACTGATGTAGTCCATGTTTAAATGCAACAAGATCTGGGCAATATCCAGGTTTGAGCTGACAAGTGGCAAATAACATTCATGCCACACAAATGCCAGGGAATGACGCCTCTAATTACAGATAATCTAACAATCATCACCCCTTGACAGTCAGTGGTGTTACCATCACCGAATCCCCACTATCAACATCGTTGGGGTCACCATTGATTGGAACCTCAACTGGATTTGCCACATAAACAAACACAGTGGCTACAACAGCAGGTCACAGGCTAGGAATCGTACAGTAACTAATTCACCTCCCAACTCCCCAAAACCTGTCCATCATTTACAAAGCACAACCAGCAGTGTGATGGAATATTCCCCACTTGCCTGGATGGATGCAGCTCCAACAAAGGTCAAGAAGCTTAACAGTGTCCAGGACAAAGTAGCGCATTTGCAACACCACATCCACAAGCATCTACCCCCTCCAGCATGGGCAC